CTGAGAAATTTCATATGTTTGACAAAAGCTAATTACAGTACATTCTTTTTTCATATGAAAAGTTTCTATCATTATGAAAAACATTTTTAGATATTTTCACTCGTGCTTTTGCAGAGTTTCTTATACATTCCTCATCATAAATTCCAGAAAAGCAATCTATTTTTTTGTTTGTGGGCGTGAAAGACAGGGTTTCTTTTTAGATTACTTGGTTCTGAAGTTTAAATGTAATTATTCAGAATATTCATGTGGATTTTCATGAAGTTTTTCTCATTGAGTAGTGACAAGCTCAAGTATAGATATTAAAATGCTCATTTTGTATTAAGGTAATAGGAAGATGACAGTGGCTACAGTATAATTAATATATCCATTAGTCTGTTCACTTGTATCTACAATTCACGGGGTAACACATTTTTAAATCAGCTGGCAACATACTACTTCTTTCTTTGTCAGACAACAGGAAAATCAAAGTCAATGGCACCAAGGAACCTATTGAGTTTAAGACAAACCAGTGGTTCGGGGCAACAGTCAAAGCTCATAAAGAAAAAGTTGTGGTAAGTCTTATGCATTTGGTATTCATTTGAAGATAATGCTTATCTTTTTATCCAATGTATATTTTTAATAGATTTCTGTGTGCAGATTATAAAAAGAACTCTGTGCTTTAGATTATGCATAAGTTATAGAACAGATCATGTATATAACTCAGAAACAATCTATAAAATCAGATTGACCTGAACACTTGAAGATGATCCTTCTGGCATGTTAAACTAGCAGAAAGTCATTTTACTTGTCATGGAAGTACATGATGACTTATTAGCAGATAATGGAAATATTTTTTGCAATAGGGAGTATCTGTTGTTGCTGTATGACTAAATTTATTATTATTATTATTAAATTTTGACTTAAATGCAGAATTACGTAACAGAAGACAAAAAATCCATGCTGAAGATCAATTAATAAGTCGTCTTTCCTCACATTTATGTTCTTTTGAACAGCTAGGTCATAGTCTTGGTTAAAATAATCTCTGAATCAGAGGACTGTTCTCAAAGCACAGTGTTTATATTCCAGTTTCACAGAACATTTTCCCTATACTGACAGAGGATCCCAGAGTGGGTATTCATGCTGTTGTTTTGGGTTCATTCTTAGGCCAAGTAGTTTTATTCGTTAGTTAGGTAGTGATGATGTTGCTTATGCACAGACATTTTAGTTTAACAATTTATGCACGAAAATTTACATTGAAAAGATTGCTGAAAATGTTGTGATAAGAATCGTTAGGTTGGTCATATTTTATTACTTTCACAATTCCAAAGCAATAACTTTCGTCTTGGGATTTGTTAAGCTGTTTCAGTTATTCCTTAATGCGAACGAGAGTCTAAAGAAAATGCTTTCTCTTAAGTAGTATGTCTTGTTAACCCTACAGAAGGATTTTGTCATAAAACAGGTAATGAATAAGCACATCACTCTCATCTGTAACAGTACTAGCATATACTGGTAATTCCCTGCTGCTTGTATCGATATCACAACCCTCTAATTTCTTAGTTAGTGCTTTCATATACCTCTCTTTGATACATTCACTTTTTAAATAAAAAGATACTTGTGAGAGTAAATATTCTGTCACTTTTTATTATTTGTCAATGTAAATATTCTAAAAATAGATTTTTATTTCATTTTGTGCGCTCTACTAAACAACAGTTCATAAATCAAAATAACATAGTTCTTTATCACCATTCAGTCAACCTTAATCAAATGAAGAGTGAGAAAAACTCATCACTGAGTGATGTCCCCTGTCCTTATTAAGCAAACTTTGGTTTGCTTCTGATAACTCTTGTCAGGCTTTTTGGAATGGGGGTAGAGTTTAACATTTTTGCAAGGCAAAACCTTGAACAGTAAAGCTAGGAAACTTTATATTTAGGCTTGTAGACTGGAATGAGAAAACAGAAAACATGTCATGAAATTGCTAGAGACTTTTTTTTTCCTACAAATGAAATACTAAACTGCATTACTTTGATGTTTACAATTACATGTAATTCCTATTTCAATCCAATTTCTCAATGCACCTGAAATCACCCTTGTAGGAAATTTATTCCTGACTTTGCTGCACTCTGGTTTTCTTTTGTTACTGTTAGTCTGTAAGCTGATCTAGGTAAGCATGTCTCAGTCTTACAAGTCCTCAAAGGCAAGTTCTAGCAGCTCTGAGTAGTAGAGAGGCTCATCCAGCCGGATCTGATGGCAGAACGAGGGTTTATGTAGCACTGTGAATAGCAACAGTTCCTTGCCAAAACCAGGCAAGTTTCTGATTGGAAGAGTAAGTCAAGGACATAAATAGAGAGTTTGCCCAACTCTTAGAGAATCCAAGCTGTAGGGAGAAGTAATCTCCCCCCTGCTCTGGGCACAGGAACCTTTGGATAGTGATGTTCACACTCGAAGACTTACCTGTTTTATTTTTCCAGTTATTTGAGTTACTTTCAAAAAAGATATTGCCTCTCCCTGCACACATCATATATCTGTTATCCTTAGACTGTCATGTTTGTAACACCGCTACCACAACACAGAAGAAAAAGTACTAGTTCGCTAGTCAAACTTATTAGGCAGCATCATCTCCTAAAGATCTGAAACAAGGATTCATTTACTGATAGACCATGATTGTAATGGCAATATGACATCTCAGTAACCATCTGCCCGCTCAGTAAAGCAGAAACATAGCAGTTGTGCTGCAATAGTGATCATCTTATGAATCCCCATAAGTAGGGACCTCCTTACTCAGATGTTTATGATCTACAGCTTAAATTAGGGGATCAAATCTGTGCTGTGAGCAGTAACGGAGCAAGCACACTGTGCATGGGGCAGGCTGTTGGAGAATGTATAACCTATGCTTAAGTGTGAGCTGTACCTCCTGTTGAATTTCACCGGCTAAATGCTGAAAGTGAAAGGTCAGACTGTGTTTTCAATTTATGATTTTGCTGTAAGAAGTAATGGTGCTTCATTTGCTTCTATCAATATGCTATCATCATTTCCACATGAATGACAGAATACCAGAGAGAATATCTGTAAATTGATTAATAAAAAGTGTATCTGCCAGATGCCGGAGGGTTTGATAGGTAAGTGTGACATAGTTCCTGTTTTGATAGGCTTGCGCTCCCTTGTATCACTGGAGGACCCTTAAAGATAACCCTGAGAAGGACCCTGTGGGCACGTGCTATGTTGCAATTCAGAACTTCAGTGCCTATGCTGAATACTCACCTTGTCGCAATAGTAAGTATTAGTAGGAGCCATCCTACATTGGAGGAATTGATACTGCATTCAGTGTTTTCATCGTTTCAATCTTGATGCTGTTTTGGTTGAGGGAATATTGCTACATGACATTATTACATTGAAGAAGGATTTAAAGGAAAAATAGCATTAAATTATATGTCTGCAGTTGGATGCTTTATCATATGATTGAAAGAGGAGAAATTAAGTAAATTAAACTCCTGCAGTTTTAGCGATGTGATATAATTGGTACAATTTAAATGGCTTTCTAATGTAGCAAACGGTTCTAGATAAGAACCAGACAGCATTTTAAACCAATTACTCATGCTTATGCTGAGCATAAATCTCTCATCACAGAATTACCATCTGAAGACCAGACCCTGCACAGAAACCTCCAAGCTTGTATCACCACTCATGCCAATAGCACCCCCAGTAGCTCATTTGTGTGGGACTTCCAGCATGGAAGAAAGCCACACACATTAACACTGCTGTTCCCACTCCTCTTGGAGTGACACTCGGAGGCTGTGTGTCTCCTCTCCACTTGTGGTAGCAATCTCTGGCCCTTACTCCCTGGGGAATAGGAAACAAGCAGTACATGTGGTTAGACACAAGCCTGATTATCTGTAAGTCTGCAGAAAATGCTGCACATTAGATCAGTCGTTAATTCTGTTCAGCATCCTGTCTCTAAACATTTATGATTATCATTAACACTGCTACTCTCGTGGCCTCACTGCTCTGATGAGCGTTGGACTGCGCTAGTATACAGCAGTCACTGCACTCACAGATCAGAGAATTGCTCTTTCAGCTGAGGCACCTGAGTGGACAGCTACAGAAAGAAGCTAAATCTGTAAGGATTGATGTCCATAAAATCTGTTTCATTCACTGTTGATGTCTTGCTGTGGCTTTTTGAAAGGCTGATGCCATTCGAAAGGTTCCATTGGCCATTCCTACCCTCACTTTCATGACCTTACAGACTTCAGCACTCCAGTATTCACACGAAAGACCTGAAGTGGATGGTAACACCATTTATAAAATTAGAAAAGAATTTTCTACTTATTATACATTTGGAGACTAGACATAAAACTGGCAGAAGCAGAAGGATCGTTTTCCATATATAAACTTGCATCCAAAATATTACATTATCCTTCAGTCCTTATTTAGACACTGTATATCAGTTAAAGGACTGGGCCTCATGAAGGACACATGCTCCCCTCCCTCACCATGGTGCAGATAACCAGGATGTTGCTTGAGTGTTGAGTCACACTGACACTATCCACTAGATGAGGTTTTCTTTGAGACTGGCTTAGTAAACATTTATTTTTGTGTTTATGGCAGTGCAAACTGTGGTAGCCATTCTAGGATTTCTTATTCTGTTGTTAGTTCTGTTTCTGCAGTCAAATTCAAACTGAATCCTTGGTACAAAGGGATCTGCCTTGGCATTGAGAAGGGAAAATCCCAAGTAATTCATCTTATTTTTCAAAATCTTCATAGAGCAGTTGCGTGGACTGAGTCCTGTAAATGTCCTTAAATTGTTCTTCCTCTCCTAAAAAGGAAGACATAGTCCTTTCACCTATTTTGGTACTTTTGCAGTTATAGCCTTATTGCTGTAAGACTGTTTAAGCTGTTTTCTGCATGCACTGTGAAATCGCTAAGGTACTTTTACCTTCATAACTGCAGGCAATGCAGATCCTGAAGGACAAGGCTTTTGTCAAGCCGGTTTCAGCTTGGATTTTTATAAGGTGAGATTTTGCTTCTGGAATTCTATGGCCAAATGTACTTCTGATGTATCCCAAATGTTCGCACACTCTCCAGAGTGTGATCCAGAGTTTGTTCCCTTGCTTGTGCATGTGAAAAGTTGCATGAAGCTGTTGCAAGTTTTCTTTCTTTGCAAACTTCAAACTTCCTGATTTAGTTAATGAAGGGAAGACTGTTATCAGTACCTGTTTTTCTGTTAGCAGCACTCCAGTTTAGCTGTTCTCACGCTTTCTTAGTTTGGGCAGCTAGATGCAGGACTTATACGTGCTTCTGCTTGTGTTTGCCCCACTGATGTTGCTTTCCAGAGACCCAACTTTCAGGAACAAATGAGCAGCAACCAGCTAGTTTTTTTTAAGATGAAACAGTTTAAATAAGCATGTATTTGGAGGCAAACTAATCATTGAGTAAGACTGGTCTTTTGTGGAAGGCCTAACGGAAATGCCTAGGTGTTCCTGTATGCCGCAGATATGCTCAATAGCAATAGCAAAGAATAAACATTGCAGCTACTGTTACTGTCTATGCCGTTGCTACACCACCAGGAGCCTTTATGTCTTTGATTATTTCAATTCTTTTTAGTGTCGTGGAGCTATGCTCTTATTCAAATTATTAATTGCTAAGGAATAACAGCCTCAATGTAAGTTTGACTTAATCATATTTCTTGATAAAGCATTACTTCTGCTTCACTGGATGTGAACACTCTCTTTTATGATGACTTTATGCTTTGTGGCAAATAATAAACAATTTTAAGAAAGTTACATAAATTTTAAAAGCTGTGGCTCTAGTTGAAATGAAGATGCCTAGGGTGATCTTAACTTTAATTTAGGATTTTGGTTAAAGTCCATGTACATACATAATTTCCTTGATTAGGGCTATTCTCTTTCATCCTAATGTTCTTTTGGTCATTTAAGTTATTGTTCCCATGCATGCTTAATTTTATTTTGTTCATTTGTTATGTAATTTCATTCAATTCTTTTTGTAGAATGGAGACCTGATAGTAGGTGGGCCTGGCAGTTTTTACTGGCAAGGTATGTTCATCTTGCTGGTTAACTTGATCCAAGAAGTGAAGCATGAAGGGTTCTAGGTTTCTAAATTCTTACTGTTTTCTCGGTTTAAGATAACCAGTCTTCAGTCTATGTTAAGCAAGTACAGATCAGAAGAATTGTTTAACAAGCTACTGAGTATAAAGTAAATTGGTGAAAAATCAGCTTATGGCTTATATAGGAGATGAAACAAATGGAAATAGCTATTTTTATGTATGTCATTTGATTAATAAGATTCCGTTTTTTATTCTAGAAATGTTACTACTTTTAAAATTATTCAGATTTGTACAGTAAATATAGTAATTTTTCAAAGTTATTGCCACTGCTTGTTGTTGATGAGAACTTTTTCTTGCTACCTGTATATATTTTAAGTTCATTTGCAAGCAGACTGTAGGAGCTAGAGTTTCTCATATGGATGACGCCTGGCAGAGGGATAGTAGGATATTTTTGCTTTAACCTGTTTTGGTATAACTGATTCTCATAGTCTGCCCACGAATGTGCCCCTTGGGAGCCCTACTTACTCATGTATGTTTTTGCACTGCCATTTATGACGGAAGATTCGAGCTGATCCTCATGGCAGGGAATGCATAACTTTGAATTCACCAGTGAGAAATCACCTCAATTTCGCTACTACATCCGTACAGCATATCATCAAAAGATAGCTGTTCAGGAGAAACTGAGCCTGAAAAGCTTCTCCTTGGGTTGAATCAGCACCTTGAAATTGATCTGGAGTTGTTCTTGTGACAATTCAATAGAGGATCAGTGCCTTGTAGTATTGATTTATATGTACTCATGAGGGCAGTAATACAGAAAGACCGAGTGAATTTCTCTGCTCGCTGCATCTGTGCCACATTATCCCCTACAGTTCTGTTCAGATGTTCTGCTAGCTCTGTCTAGCTAGAAACTGTCTCTCCTTTGAGTCCCTTTCATTTATGAAGTTGTTTGAATCCAGGTCAGGTGATCACTGCAAGCATTGCGGATATCATTGCAAATTACTCCTTCAAGGATATTCTAAGGAAACTGGCACGAGAGAAACAAACAGGAGTGGCACAACCCACATATGATGACAATTACATGGGTAAGCTAAGCTCTGTCAGTTAGCAGTCTGTCCTAAAGGCTTAGTGAGGCATGTGCGAATGAAAAAACAAACCTCAAAATACCAATCTCCTAATACTGTTATGTTTTAAACTCATATTTTGCTTTAAGCACAACAGCAAATTAGTAATTTGTTAATTACTTCAATGGGATTATGAACATTATTAAAATCTTGCACAATAATAGGATTTGAGTCAATAGGATTTAAAGGATGAGATCTTAAATGTGTTGTTATGGTGTTATTTGGTATTATTCAGTAAATAAGTAAGAAAAAACACAAAATTTTCCTAATTAGACCTTCTTCTCATTCCAAGGAAATGGACTGAGTTTACAGTAGTTAAAGACTATTTCTGTTCTTAACAGATACAATTAGTTACAAATAAACAAATACTTTAGTTCTGCTGTGTTTTGTAAGTGCTACTTAAATATGCATGTCAATTCTTCCTGATGTTGCAAGATGCAGCAGAAGTGAGTAATAACAAAAGCTGTTTTGAAGATACAACGTAATAAATAGAAAAGCCCTCCATTTGTGTACCTTTTACAAGTACTGACCTTCTCTAAGAATTTGGATGATAGTTATATATCTCTGACTGTAACAGAGGTTTTCTTCACATAATTATAGAAAAGATGGGATGGAATTTCAGTGCAAACATACTTCCTTTTTTCTCTACCCATAAAGTTGGAGTTACGATCACTGATGCAATCCAAAAGTCTTTGCTCTGTCAATAGCAATTATATCACTTATATGCTTACTAAAGCCTCAGGAGGTACTTAAATATATTGTTGGACATCTGCCTTCCTTACAGAGCTAAATCAGGACAATCATACATTACAGTATGATAATGAAGGCCTAAATAGCATCAGTAGCTTTTAGGAGAAGCCACTGCAGTACTTGCAGGTTTTTCAGATAAGTTTTTGAGTATTAATGCTTTAACAACTTATGTGGGGACCTTGGAGACCTATAGTTAATTTAGTCTTAATAATTTGATGAACAGTTTTCTTTTCTCCACTCCGTTTTAGTATTCTAATTCAGAAGTTTTTCATGCTGGTAAACAGGTGAGCAGGCAAATCTGATTGTCTGATTGCAGATTGTCAGATTGCAGAAACGTCTTTTTGGGAAAAAAAGAGTTTGTCAAGTTTTTTGTTTGTAATTTATCTTTAAACAGGATATTCAGTGGCTGCTGGAGAATTTACTGGAGACTCTGAACAAGGTAAAAAGCCATATATGTGAGAGGCAACCATATGTCTGTGCACCTATTAATTTCCCCAACTGGGGTCTCTACATAGGCAAATACTTCCTCAGAAGGTGTAGCACACCAGAGCAGAATTTCAGCAACCAGAATTGCCTGACATGGTGTCCTTCTGCATCTGTTCTGCAGTCAGAGCTGTGACAGTGGTATAGATGGACCCACCTGGGTTAACTTAATTTAGCCGCTTTGGTGACCGCAGTAGTAACACGTGGGACCAATTCTAAAAGCCTGTACACTTTTTGGGTCCACACTCAAGTTACTCACTTGCACTGAAATGTTAGGCTTTAGCACTTGGCTGGCCAGGAGCAACCTAGTTTGGAAAAGTCTGTATATGCTGAAAGCACATTTCACCTTAAAAAAGGGAAAAAAAGAAAAAAAAAGAAAAAAATCTCACAGGTTTAATAGAATTGCTTAAAGATGTAATGACCGGGAAACCTTCACCTGAAGTGTTTCATGATTCCCTTCTAGGGGGAGCAGCACCATCTTCTAGGTATGGATATGTTCATAGTTGATAAAGTAGAGCAGCATAAACCATGTAAGGAAGAAATTTTAAGCAAAATTGCAGAGTAAAATGGCTTTTTTAAAAAATAAATGGGCAGAATGTCACTGCCTAACTTAGAATTTAGCTCAAACACTGTGAATCATGTTGTTCCCTCTAGCAAAAGGTGACACAGGATCTTTATTAGTTTCATATGGTCAGGAAAGACTGCAATGAAAAACTATGGCTCCAGCAACATAGTTCTGTAGTTGTTCTCTAAGGACAAATTCAAAGCAATCCATCCTGCTGAGTCTTGGATTAGTAGCAACAGTTCCTGGAATATCACTGTGGTTTTAACTAAACACCAGCAGGACTTGAATCACACTAAACTGAGGTGCTGAACTGTAGCCTAAGGTACTGTGGCAGAAGAACTAAAAACCAAGCTAAATGTTGCTAGATTTTTAAGTCATAAAATAACTTTTGTGAGTGTGTTAGAAATTAAACACTGGTTTTATGATGTCTGTAAGTTGAATCCAGTGCAGCACAGCTCTTTCAGAAGAGTACATTAAAAATAATCAGCTATAAGAATAAACTTCTCCATAGTTTATCTGTTTTCAGAAATTGTTTTTAAATTGTACAGGCTTCCCAAGTATATAGTTCAGCTGAAAAAATTCATGGTCCCTGTTGTTTCATACTTTAGGGTTATTTTATCTTATGTAGGGCCGATAGTCTGTCATAAAGTATTTCCTGAAAGATAGCTTTTTTGAAAGAGTGAATAGCAGCATGATCCAGATTCTCAAAACTGATAGAGATAGTAAATTTCTGCAAATGAATTCAACTGACCAGAACTGCTGCTGCTTAATCCCTTTAAAGTTAGAGTTTCCTATTCTTCAGAGTTTTCCTAAAAGAATAGAGTACACAGTTTTGAGCCCAAATCTATAACTTGAAAAGAAAAAAAAAGGTGTATCCCTGAATAATGGAAGGTTGCAGCCATCTATTTTTAATGCATACTCACAGTTTTATAATGGTTCTTGAATGAGTAAGTCAAGGGAAAGATTAGTACAAAGAACTGAATTGTTGGCAGCATTAGTCCTTTGTCACATTCAGTCCATCATTACTACTTTCATTTCCCCTTGACCTGCCACTGTTCACCATAGATAAACGCCAACAGGAATAGATGCACACCGGGTCTGTAGAGGAAGACATCTGAGCTGCTTTGATAGCTGAGAGTCCTGGTGTCTTCTGATGTGGATATCATCTGGAAGGAAAGTTTAGACACTAAGATTGCAGGCTGTGGCTTTTTTTTTTTTTTCTCTTTTTATTATTTTTTTTTTCCAACTGTTGATTAAAAACTGGTCACTGGGGAGGAATCATATCCTGGAGAGCAGCTAGGTTCAATATTTCATATGCTTAGTCAATTAATTCCCCCAGTGCCACTTACAGAAAAAAAAAAAAAAAAAAAAGTTTGCTGTACTCCTACATGGACTATGCCAAACCTGGTATCATCAAAGTGTGGCACGAGCCAAATGGCAGATGAGAGAAAACATTATGTGGCCAGAAAAACAGATGATTTACAGGCAGTCTAACTTCTGTGGTGCCACAGTTTAGTGTGTGATGCCACAGTTAGTTCTGCTCTATTAATCCACAGTCATCAAGTAACAAGCTGAACTGAACTGAAAGTTTTATTATACTGTACTGTGCTAAGTAATGCTAAGCAGAAAAAGACTTCTATCCAGACATGGACCAATGTATTCAGCTATTAAAGATGTAATATTTCATGCCCTTAGATATACTGAATGAACATTAAAATCTTATGAAGTGAATTAAAGGTGTTTTTGATGCAGACAAGAGGCTAAAATCCTAAGGGTTTTACATCAGGGAAGATGTAAGTAGCATCGGCTGCACATTGCAAGCGCCATTCAGGTAATACAACCTGTGTACACCTCAATATTTGTCTTTTCAGAGCTGGTTACTGGAGTCCCAAGAGGAGCTCAGAACTTTGGCTATGTATGTACTGGACCCATATTTTGTCCATTTTCTAGTGATAATGCACCTAGACTATACTGAGAGTTAAAAGTTAGGTTGTATTTTATGCCTTTTTGATGCTTAACTTTCCATTCAGGCATAACTGCCACTGACTTTCACCTTCAAACTTGTCTAGTTGGGCTGAAGTGTTTTACTGGGTTGGCTTTGAAAGTTAAGCTTGCATTCCCTTCTGAAGTCTATGCTTTCAATGTCACTTGCAAGCATGCTTTGAATATTACTAATATACCTGTACACAGAAGTTACCAGACTCCAGGCTAGAGTATTTTATGTGAAAACTTATGTCCATGATGGAGAAAAGTCAAAGTTCAGATTATTCACATCCGGTGTTTATTTTCAGTGCCCTTTCTAGTTAAATACACTGAATACCAGACACAGAGAGTCATGATATACAGTTAGAAGTGGAAGGATGAAATCATATCTGTGTGTGGATACAGCTTTTACCTCATGGAAGAAAAGATTCAGGACCAATCCGCTGGGCCAACTGAGAGGTCACAGCCAGAAACACATTCTGTAGTTTTGTGGACCCAAAACACCTTGTGTCTCATCCCATGAGATACATGAACTTATATATAGATATGAACTTATTCGTCCCACTTTTTAGAAGCAAGCTATATATCATCATATCATTTTTAAGTTCATGTGTTCATGCCTGTTAATGTAGCCATTGTCTATGATACGTTGCTGTTCACAGTGCTGGATAAGGAAGGAAAATAGTCGTTTTCTCAATTTACTCATGGGAGATATGAGACTCATCTCTTTCTTGACCTTCAATGTATAAAATTAGTTTGCAGTGATATTACAGTGTAACATCTCCATTAGTGCTCAAACTTTTTTTGTATTTTTCTATTAACAGGTCTCAATTATTAATTCTTCAGACCTGACCTTTATCCAGAACTTTACTGGTGAACAGGTAATATCAAGGAATTACAAGATAAAGTATTGTATCTCCAGAGGATGTAATTTCATTTTTGCACTTCCAAGAATATATAAAATGTTTTAATTATTTAAAATTAAGATCCATAAAAGGCAAAGTTTGTCAGTAAAAATTACAGAAATTAATATACAATATGAATGCATATCTGTTGTTTTTTATTTCCAGATGGCTTCTTATTTTGGGTACACTGTTGCAGTATCAGATGTTAACAATGACGGGTAGGTTACTAAATATATTCATCTCCCACTGAAGATACACAGAAGTAATGCCTGATACTATATACCCCAATCTCCCTAAGAAACTACAGTTTAGGAAATAGTTTTTAAAATGACAGTCAGTGCACAGTCCTGGTGACTCATGCCTAAATAGCAAAAGTTTATTTATTAATAAACACAGGTTTTCAAGTGCTTTATACCTTAAATGCTTCTGTTAGCTTTTCTGCTTTTATAATTTTACTTGTTGGCCTAAGCTTACCCCTGTGCAACCAGTGGCTTAAATACATAGTTTGGATACGTTTATCTTCTTATCCCTCTTGAAGAGTGGGAATGTGCAAATTCTGAGGAAGCAGAACCAGTTACAGAGAATGAACAATGCTAGGTGCTACTTGGAAGAGACAGGAAAAGTCAAAAGCAGAACAGTTCATTCTTCCCTTCTCAAAAGCAGATAAATCTTCCCCCATGCAGACCAACCACAGCCTCAGCTCTCATTTTTAAGAGCTTTTCGGTGTCTTCAGCTCCTCACTCCAGCATCTGCTGGTTAGCCATCCATTTTCATCATCAGTACACCTTCCAGAGAACCAAAAAGTGTCTGTGGCCCTTTGGAGGCTTTAGAAGATCAGGTCTTCAGTTAATGAATATTGATACAAGTATTCTGTCAAGGAGATAAACATCACTCATGCTCAGAGCTTTGAAGCTGGTGCACAACTGAGGCAGGATTATGTTAAGAGCTATATATACTTTTGCCTATTGCAAAATAGCTTAGATGGGTCTACTTCGTGTTCTTTATTTGCAATTAGTTTGTATTAGATGCTTAAATTTAGTGCATTAGATACTTTCTTTGGGCTAAATCATTGCTCTCCATCAGTGACCACAGAAGAGTTAGGGATACAAGAAAGGGAAAAAATAATGACGTGATAAAAATGTTATTTCCAAAATGAGAAGGAAAGTGCAGCAGTTTCTACAATGGTTTCACAGTAATGAAGCCTTTCCAAGCTTCTAAGGTCACATTTGCTCACAGTACCATAGCTAGCTTTTGGTAAAAAATCCTGTATTTACAGTATATATTATCAGGATAATTTTAGTCTTACCATAAGGCATCGCTAACATGAAAGTGTGGAGAAATGTTGACCTAAGTTTCAACAGTCATTCATTAAACTTTCAGAGGACTTGATAGTTAATTTCTCAGTAAATCAAACCATTTCCTGTGCAGGTTATTTCCTGTGAATCATAGAATTACTTGGCAGGTCTCACATTTTCTGTGTACCTCTAAAACCACAGTTTATATCAATAGTATAATGAAGCTGCTGTTGAGGCCTGTGTGGTCTCCCTGTCTATATCTTGAAGGAAATCTAATGACTCTTTCTGAGATCCAAACATCCCACACAAAACAAAACACAAAAAAGCTCTACTCGGTAAATATGTCTGATTAAGTATGCAGCCTGTGCTTCCTGGATTGCACATACAGTCAATGGAAATATTTATCTGAAAGGGAGAGTAAAATTGAAAAAAAAAAAAACAGGAGGAAAATGACTACTTCAAATTCACTTAGAGTTTTTGTGCAGCTAAGGACAGAGGAGATAGATAGATAGTGAT